ATCTCCTTCCCTTCCCCTCCCCACAACAGACACCCTGTGAGGCAGGGCGGGCTGAGAGAGCTCTTTCGAGGACTGCTCTTGAGAGAACAGCTCTGAGAGAACTTGTGATTGACCCAAGGTCACTCAGCAGGTGCAAGTGGAGGAGTGGGGAATCAAACCCGGTTCTCCCAGATTAGAGTCCAAGCACATAACCATTACACCAAACAGTGAAGATCCTTGTGCTGCGGTGAACGCTGCTGCCGAAGCAATTTTTTTAAAAAAAAGATCTGCACTGCCAATCTGATCTCCGGTGGCCAATCTGAAGCCCAAATCTTTACTGGCCCCACCCACTTTCTAAAAGCGTGGCAGGCACCGAGAAAGGTGTTGGCGGCTGCCATTGCGCCCGTGGGCACCATGTTGGAGACCCTCGCATAAGAATTTCCCCAGCTAAGCACACTTTACTTTTGCCCTGAAACTTCCCAGCTTCCTCGTCTGCTGCATAAAAGCTCAGAGCATCTCATAATGAAGATGTGCCGTAGTGAGGGCGGGAATGACAAAAGGTTAGGGGGAATCAGGGCAGATCCAGCCATCTCTGCCCTTTTCCAAAATCCGGTTCATGTTTTACCCACCGCAGGAGGCTTGTTGTGCAGCGACTGAAGCCGGATTAGGATATTTCCCAGCCCCAAATATTATGCTCGGCCATCGCACAGGGGTCTCCTGCCGGAAGGCGCGCAATGTTTAAAGTCGAGGCAAGTGTCAGCTCGTTCCCGCACCTTGCTCGGCGTAAATAATACATCCGCTCAAAGCACACAGCTTGAATAATACATTCGGCACAATCGCTTTTGCTCAGAGTACAAATCAATTTCATTTCTGGGCTTCCAAACAAGGTGGAGTGCAGCTGTGTTTGACTGGCAGGGACCGGAGCCAAATGTTAATTGCTTCGCGAAACCCAGCTGTTTAAAGCGGAGCAGGAATCAGGAAAACAGGCCCATTTCTTATTCATGCCCCCTTCCTGGATGGCACAACAGAGCCCTGGCTGACACGACCCGAATCAGAAACCCCGACTGTCTCAGAGCCGTGCCAACGGATGCGTTCGCCGTCTAAAGGTAGGGCCGTCAACCGAGAGAGCCAGTGTGGTGTAGTGATTAAGAGTGTCGGATTAATAACTGGGAGGCCCAGGTTCGAATCCCACTCGTGCCTTGGAAGCTCGCTGGGTGACCTCAGGCCAGTCACACTCTCTCAGCCTGACCTACCTCACAGAGTTGTCGTGAGGATAAGATGGAGGAGAGGAGAAGGATGAAAGCCGCTTTGGGTCCCCATTTGGGGACAAAGGTAGGGCACAAATGCATTAAATAAGTAGATAAATCCCCAGGCAGGGACTCGAGTTCTCCCAGAATTACAAGTGTTCTCCCGATTAAAGAGATTCATTTTACTAGAGGAAATCGACAGCTTTGGTGGGTGGACTCTGTGGCGTCGCACCCATATTTTGCTCCACCCCCTTCCAAAATTCCGCTCTCCCCAAGCTCCGCCTCCAAATCTCCAGGAATTTCCTAACCTAGAGCTGGTAACACTATCCACAGGGGATTAGGGTTACCAGTCCCCAGGTCGCAGTGGGGGATCCCCCGGGTTTTGGGGCTTCAGCCCGCCGCTGGACAGCTGGTTGGTGGGGGAGCCCCACCCCCAAACAGCCATGTCTCCATGCAACGTTCCCAAAGTGAGGACATCCCCTGGAAGTGATGTCATCAAGTTGAAGCCGTCATGCGGGACGCTCTGGTTTGAGGGTCAAAACCAGGGCTATTTTGGGGGCAGGAACGCACAGGAACGGAGTTCCGGCTGGCTCCCAAGTTGGCCACGCCCAGCAAAAACTCATTAGCATAATAGGCCACACCCAACAGCAGAAACGCATTAGGATTGGCTTCATCAGGGGTGTGTGGCCTAACATGCAGAGGAGTTCCTGCTACAAAAAAGCCCTGGGTTTGGACAACAAACAAGGTAAGCAGAATAACAAGCAAAAGGTGGGTGTGGCTGGATGAGCACACTTCTGGTAACATGGGGGTGCGCCTAATCTGCTAATGAGCTGCGCTGTCATGGGTGTGGCCCAATATGCTAATGAGTTTCTGCTTCTGGGTGTGGCCTATTATGCTAATGAGTTCCTGTTGGACTTTTTCTACAAAAAGAGCCCTGGGACTCAAAACTCTATGATGAAATTGGCCTAAAAGCATAGAGGTTTGCCCCCAAGGCCGAGTGGCAACATCCGGGTGATGTCATTGTGTCCGAGGATGTCCTGGAACACCCCCCCCCCGGAAACCCTACAGGGCCCCCCTCTTTATCAGTGAGGCTGACTAAGGTTGAAATGCAAACCTCAAACCCACTAGGCCCGAAAGGAGATAATCTTGCACCTTTTTAAAAAAAACTGGGGCTGGCCTTGCATTAAGCTCCCCAGCTCTGGGTTGGGAAATTCCTCGAGATTTGGGGAGGGGGAGAGCCCGGGGCGAGTCATGGGAGGAGCCCCAGCAGGGTACATTGCCAGAGAGCCCGCCCTCCAAAGCAAGGAATGAAGAGGAAAAAACAGTGGTGTGGTGGGTATCAATTGTATTCACTCTCCGGGCCCCGACGTGTTTCGCTCTGCACTTCATCAGGGGGTGCAGACCCCTTTGGGGAATGAATGGCACAGACCCCCCCATGAAAAAGTGCTCAGCGAAACCCCTTGGGGCACACAGAGCGAATAAAATGGATTCCCACCGCACCACTGGTTTGTTTCTTCATTCCGCGGCTCCGCCGATGCGGCCCTTCTTTCTCTTGCTTTCCCACCCTCCAGAGCAGCCACGATCTCTGTATCCTGGGGATCAGTTGTAACTCCAGGAAATCTCCAGGCCCTATCTGGACATTGGCAACCCTAGTCTCGGACTGGGCCAGAAAGTCAGCCTGCTAGCCAGCTCTTTCTCCCGCAGTCCTACAACTCCCCTCTTCTGTGAGCTAGCTGTCTTAGCCGGGGAGCTGCCCTCTGACCCCTCCCCTCTCGCTCGCTTTGTCCTCTCCCTCCCTGCACATGGCCTTCCATGGAGACATCTCCATCTTCCGTGGATCGTCCTTGTTATGAATAAGTTATTCCAGAGGTCATTTCGGGGGGGATCGTGGGGGATCGCGGTTCCCCCGGGTGAGGTACAGGGGGCGGGGCACATGACAAAGCCCCGCCCCTGCTTCCGGCCGCCCCGCTTCCGGCCCTCATTCAGCCAGGAGGAGGCAGGAGAAGAGGGAGGGTAAGTTGCTTCCTCCCTGCCTCTCCCCACCCCTGCCTGCCTGGGGCCAGGGAGGGCCTTGGCGGGGCTTCCTTGCACTCCCGCCGGCCGGGACCGTTGGGGGCGGGGTGTGTGGCCTTATGACACACTTCTGGTGATGTCAGGGGGTGTGGCATATGCTAATGAGTTATGCTAATGAGTTCCCCTAGCTCTTTTTCTACGAAACGACCCCTGAGTTATTCTATATCTCCCTTTCCCCCTTGTTTTTCTGTATCCCTATTTTAATTTAAAATAACAACAATACTTTAAAAAGCTTTACAAAAAAAAGAAAGAAAGATCTTTGGGGTCTGTTTCAAAGCAGGCTCCACCAAAGCGGTGGTCCGGTCTCCCCAAACAGACACTGAACAACCCCGAGTGTTGCCATTTCTCCAGATGCTCGCGATGCCAAAGATTCTTATGCACTCCAAAGCAAACTTCGTTTTTATGTAGCCCAAATATATGTATTTCACCACCCTCCTCCAAATTCTAGATTTGTTGCTGCTCCTGTTACATACTTATATTTTCTTGACTCAAATAATTCCAGAAGGGCCTTTACATTGGCAAGAAGTTCAACTCTACCTTCCGCTGTTCAGGAAGGGAGGTTTAAATCAGTTCCCTAAATGCATAGGCTCTGTTCCTGTTCTTTAAAGGAAACTGATTCAATGGAACATATTTTCTTTAACTGCCCTAGGCACAAAGAAATCCGGTCAAAATTTATTGAGCGGCTGATCGGAAATTTCCCCGGCAGATCAAATGCAATTAAATTCGATTCTCTTCTATCCGATACGAACCATGAAACGACCCGAATAGTGGCTAAATTTTTGTGCACAGGTGTACAAAGATCGGGAAATGCATACGGTAGCTTGAGTGAAATTTTTTAAAGTTGCAAAATTTGATCGTTTGATTTTATAGAAACCTTTGTGTATGCTGGTCATGGACTGTAAAATAAAATTGTTGTTGATATATATTACACCAAATGAAAACATGTGTTTTTTTTCCAAAAGTTGATTAAAAGAATTAGGCAAAGGACTACCAATCTGCCCACAAACTCCCTCAACAGGCGACGCTCACTTAATTTACTTTCCCTCCACTAGATGGAGTCCCATAGTTAGAAGAGTCCCCTTACCTATTTCTGGTACACAGTCCTGGGTATTGCACACCTCCTTCTCCTCCGGTTTGAGTTGCGTGTCACACTTGGAGCTGGGCGTCATGTCATCGGACAGGCACCGCACCTCTCGGACGCGGAAGCCGCCTTCACAAGATTTCGAGCACTGCGAATGTGAGCGGTGCGAGTGAGAATCGGGGACAGATTTGCGATTAAGAAATCACCCCTCGGTGACACACATGTAAGGTTCCGTATCCCCCCTAGCAACTGGCAGTGTGCGGGAGGACTTACCGGGGACGAGGAGGCTCAGGCCAGTGATGCAGAGATTCCACTGGTGATGCAGTGATGTCACTTCTGGTGCACACAGAAAGTGATGTCAGCACATCACCAGCGCTGCCAGGGACACTCTGGTACTTGGGCAGAACTCTACGGAAACTCCTTTTTCTACCATAGACTTTTCCCTGTGCCCTGGCCCTGCTGGTGGACCTCCTGATGGCGCCTGGTATTTTTGGCCACTGTGTGTCAGAGTGTTGGACTGGATGGGCCGTTGGACTGGGTGGGCCATTGGCCTGATCCAACATTGGCTCCTCTTATGTCCTTATGTTCTTTTGTTCATCCCTGGTGGTGCTAGTGGCACACTCGTGTCCCTTTTGGGTGCACAGGGGTTGACATCAGTGGGGCAGGGTGCCAGCTCTGGGTTGGAAAATACCTGGAGACTTTGGGGGGGGGAATTAGGGTTGCCAAGTCCCCGCTGTATGTACAGCGGGGGACTCCAATCCCATTCCGGAAGGGGGCGTGCGCATGCAAAGTGCGTGCGCGCCACAACCCCATCAACCTGGAAGGGACGCAGCCGCGTCGGGTGCGCCAGGGGTGCGGCCACGGTCATCCGAGGGAAACACATAGAGTTTTCCCTCGGATGACCGCGGCCCCGCCCCCGGCACGCCTGGCGTGGCTGTGTCACTTCCGGGTGATGTACTGATGCCGGGCGTGTCACATGCTTTGGGGGTGGGGTTCCCCCCGGGGCCCGATCCGCCGCTGCCGGGTAATGGGCCTCTGGGGCGGTGTTTTCCCCACCCCCCGGGGGGACTTGGCAAGCCTAGGGTGGATCCAGGAGTGGGTGGGGTTAGGGAGGGGCCTCAGCATGGTCCAATGCCATAGAGTCCACCCCTCAAAGCAGCCATTTTCTCCAGGGGAGCTGATCTCTGTCAGCTGGAGATCAGCTGTACAAATGGGAGCTCTCCAGACCCCCCCCCCCCGGAGGTTGGCAACTCTACTGCCACCAGCTATTTTTGGCACCATCCCCCCCCCACTGGTTGATTGGGGGGGGCTTGAGGCAGGAGATCTGCCCTGCCCTACGGACATAGCATAATTCAGTGCACATTAACACCATAATCTACAATTCCTCTCGGTATAGCCACGCAAAAAAGGGCTGCAGTGGCTCAAGTGGTTAAGACTGCAGGCCGGAAGGTCGGTAGTTCAGCAGTTCAAGACCCGAGTGCCACATGACGAAGTGAGCTCCCGTCTCTGGCCCCAGCTCCTGCCAACCAACCTAGCAGTTCAAAAGCAAGAAATTGCAAGTAGATAAATAGGTACCGCTTCAGTGGGAAGGTAACAGCGTTCCATGAGCCTCAGCATCTAGTCCTGCTGGCCGCATGACCACGGAAATGTCTTCAGACAGCGCTAGCTCTTCGGCTTGGAAACGGAGATGAGCACCGCACCCCTAGAGTCGGATTCAGCTGGCTTTTGAGCAAGGGAAACCTTTACCTTTACCTATAGCAATGCAAGCCACATGGCACATTCTTTCGGGGCTCACTGTGGAAATCCTTCTTCTTGCTTCTATGTGCCTTCACGCAGCCTTCCAACACAGGGGTACTTCTTTGCAGTCATGCAGTAGGAACATGAAAGCTCTTCTCAGGATCAATGCGGGGCAAGGGGGGAGACAGAAGGGAACTGGAGCTTTTATGTGTAAATCCCGATAGAAAGGGACCCCTGAGTCAAGAACAGAGTCCCGGGGAGGTTGTAAAAGCTTCACTCTCCATGCTGTAGCAACCCCCTCATTTCCCCCGGAAGCTGTCAATGAACAGTTGAAGAAGGAGAAGGGAAAGAAAGGATTCGAAGTCCGGATCCTAATGGTGGATGAACTTTCCACAACTCAATTTGAAATTGGTTTGATATCCGTGAGCTTTCTCAAGGAGTTCTCAAGGAGCTTTCTGGTGTAGTGGTTAGGAGTGTGGACTCTAATCTGGGAGAACCGGGTTCGATTCCCCACTCCTTCACGTGCAGCTGCCGGTGTGACCTTGGGTCAGTCACAAGTTCTCTCAGAGCTGTCCTCTCAAGAACAGTCCTCAAAAGAGCTCTCTCAGCCCCACCTACCTGACAGGGTGTCCATTGTGGGGAGGGGAAGGGAAAGGAGATTGTAAGCCACCCTGAGAGTCTTGCAGGTAGTGAAGGGCAGAGTATAAATGCAACTCTTCTTCTTCTTCTAGGGGAAACCCTTCACCATTCCCCAAGCATTTCTTGCCATCTAGCACGGTTGGCCAAACCTCATTACACCATGATTTTGGGTTTTCAACTGCCTTTCAAAATGCCATTCATTTTGCATCAGTCTCTCTCTCTCTCTCTCTCCCTCTCTCTCCCTCTCTCTCTCTCTCCCTCTCTCTCTCTCTCGCTCTCTCCCT